GCCTCCCGGTTCAGGTAGGGATGCAACTGGTGCACCAGGCGAACCTGGGCAAATGCCCCCCTGGTCACAGCTGACGAGTGATGTTCAAAGGTCAGCTGTGGGTCCAGGAGGACTCCCAAGTTGCGAACCCTGTCTGGGGGGCGTACAGTTTGACCCCACCAGCCTGAGAGATGGAACACTTGGCCAATTCGAGGGAGGGAAACACAACAGCCACTCGGTCTTTTCTGGATTGAGCACAAGTTTGTTGACCCCCATCCAGTCTTTAACAGCCTCAAGACCCTTGCTCATCACATCCATCGCTTCGTTGAGTTGGCATGACTTATGACCATTTTTTTACACGTACAACTATTGCAGTATCCTCATGTCATGTGATTAAAATTCAGATGCTCGGCAACTGACGGTTGTAGTGTCCCAGGGTCAAACGATCACTTTCTGACAAGCAAAGTCAATGGAGAAGCCAGATTCACTTAACAACTGGCCTACTAACTTAGCAACTGTCGTGATTCACTTAATAACTGTGCCAAGAAAAGTCATTAAGTGGGGCAAAATTCAATAAATGGCTTCCTTTGCAGCAGAAATTTTGGGCTCAATTGCAGTCATAAGTACAGGACTACCTGTACCAAGGTCTAATCATCCATTTTTTAACTCCTATAAAGCCTTATATAGTTGGTGCTCAGAAGATTTTTAAGTTCAAGAATCTTCAAAGGACAAATATAAACTGACCTATTGGCATGAAATTACACTGGGAAAGAACAGGCATGTGAAGTTTTTCCTTCTGATGGTAAAGATACAAAAAGATAGGTTAAAGCCAAAACTAGATGCCAAGAAACTGGCCATTTTCTTTTTCTCTAAAACAGTAAAGTATGAATGTGACAAATATGCTTCAAAACATGATTTATATAAGTACCTGACTAAAGAAAGTAGACTGGTTGCTATTGCCAGTTCAATCTCTTCTTAGCAGTAATTCTGAATGCATTGACACGTTCTCTAATGCCTCAGCAAGCGACCACACATAGCAATACATGGCTGACCACAGAAATGAAGTAAGAGTAAATCTGGTTAATATTTGGATGAGAGACCCTCAAAATATCTAAACTAGGAAACAAAAATAAAGAAATGAAAAAGAAGGCAGTAGCAGTGATTTTTCAGGAAAAAGTCATGGATAATCACCATGAGTCAAGCTCAATGTGAAGGAGACATAACTTTTTGCTTACTTTATGTAATCCTTCCAAGGACGCTGAAGCAGATCCTAAGAGAGGCAAGTGCTGTTTGGGAAACATGCCTTGAACTCTGATGTGATCAGCATCAGTCTTGCTAAATCATTTTTACAGTAGCGATCATTTCTGATCCACTGATTCCAACATTCTTCCACTGAGAATTTTCTGCTTAATACAGTATATAGGACATTTTGGATGTAGAAGGTATACATTCCTAGTGCAACTTTCCCACTGTAGCCTTATGCTCACCCCTACAAGGATCCTCCTGGTCACAAGAGAGATGGAAGTTTATACTGCAACTTTGTATGTAGCCCTATACCACCAAAATGTTATTAAATCATATCACAATTAAATTAATGTCTGTGAATATGAAGAACACAAATGTCAAAATGTACCCAGGGTAAAGAGAAATTAAGGCAAATGTGCCTTTCGTATCTTAGCATTCAACTGCACACAAAATGGTCTAGTGTGTACTACAGCCTCACATTATATTAACAGTAATTTGTAATGGGAAATGGCCAGAAAACATGTTTCTATTGAAAAGACTAAGCATCTGAATCAAACAACAATGGTAGAGCCAACATGAGATGTAATAGTCCATCCATCAACTATTACCTGCAGAGGTAATCTCTAAATGGAGCAGAGTGCTTACAATATACTCATGCTTTTTTTCCCAATCAAAGATCTTTAAAACTAGGATTACAATGAATCCCAACATGGTCAAGGATCTCAAGTATTTGAAACTGATTAATAAGTCCTTGAAAGCTTATTCATAACATTTTTTTTGCAAACAAGAGATCTTGTCATTCCTGTTCAACTGTACTGTAATATTAAATCTTTCTGAAGGAAAGATAGTTGAAGGGTGCAATTCTTGTTTTGATGTACAGCAGAAATACACATGCATATCAGCACAATCAAAGATGAAGATACACTCCTAAACTACAGTCCACTTCAGGTACTGTTTGATCTTCTGAGGTAAAAATGTTATTTCAGTCTAATATGGCACATATCTCATCTACACAATTACATCACAAACAAAAGATGGCCTTAGCATGGCATTGCAGCACACCATTCTTCTAACAATTAGGTTTTGCTCCAAGTAGGATGATGTACTTAATATTTTACTAAGTTAACAATGACATTGCCTTAATATACAATATATAATAAACTCTAAACACACCAAATAGGTATGATTTTGTTTTTATAAATCCTTGATTAAATATACTTATCTACCAATGACACTTTATATGTATAGAGACTGGTAAAAATATATCGATATGTATCCAGACTTTTGTTTCGAACAGTTTAGAAATCATCCATCCATCTGCGAAGTCGAAGGAGCAGAGGATAAAGTTCTCAACACGGAACCAAATGAGGCTTCTTTCATGTTCAGGAACCAAACAGCTCTCAAAATCCAGACTGTGAAAATCAGACATCTCCAAAAATATACCAGCGAATGGTATTTAGCTCCTTGTCTCTATAACTATTTCTTTTCTTTCTTTCTTCTTTTTCTCCTTCCCCACAGTGAATTATTTTATAATCCCTGTGATCAGCTCTGGCAAGGTTTGTGGCAATCTTTTAAACCAGCAAATCTGAGTTACAATGCCTACGGATCTTATCTTGCTAAATGGAATCTGTGAGAAATGAATGAAGCCGTGTGGCAGCTGAAATATGGCTTTGTATAAAAAGGATGACATCTATGTAGGGTCTGATTTTCTGTTTTTTGTCTGAGTTCATTCTGTTCTTTTACAGTGCCTTCATCTGACACATTAATGGCCACTTTATTTATTTTTCCTGTACTATATAATTCCTATCATTACTTACAAATGCACAGAGAAGGAAATGACTATTTACAAACAGGTTGGCACTTAAGAGAATATATTATTGATATTTTCTCCTGTTTATTTCCCCCCCCCACCCTGTTTTCCAGCTCAGTGGTAGCTAGGATGCCTGGCAAAACCTGCTGCCTCATTAGAATATGTTACGTTAACATGAAAAATAGGATTCCGACTTGTACATTCTTTCTCAATGGATGGCTCTGAAAAGCAATACCTTCCACCCTAATTCATATTTGATGCTCAGACGGCTAGTCAAGCGAAAGCAAGGGCTGCATGTTTTCTTCTTCGTTTTTATCCATGCGCTTGAGCACTCCGGGGTCTACCACAGATTGAGACCTAGAAAAACATTAAGCAGAGACCTATTGTGATTCATTTTAGCAACAACAAAAAGGCAAGCTCCTTCGCATTATTTTTAAAAAAAAGCAAGACTGCAACCAGAAAATATGCTTGGGGAATATATGGATGATGCAAGATCCTCCTGAAAAGAAATCCAGCCATGTTTCGTAAAACAGCGATGAAAAAAAAAGTGATTTAAAGGTCAGATTTGGCCAGCAGGCCTCTCCTTTCAGTCTATTGTGGCTTTTGCTGACATACATTCCCCACCTAAATGCCAACCTTCTTTAAAAAAAATTAAAAAAAAGCTGCCACTTCCAGATGGGTGGGAGTGATTTTCTTCCTAATTACCTCCCTCCTACCTTGCCTTTGCCATTAGAGGAAAGTTTACAGCTGAAAGTCTTCAGAGGAATGGGCAAAGGTTGGTTAGGGGGCAGCCTTTTACATATACCATCCATCTGAAAGAGGGTTCTGGGGAGGATAGGGAGGGGTTCCGTCAAAAGGTGACAGGCAATTGACAGCTTGCGCAGAATGACGTTCTTATGAGCGACAGTCCACAGCTTACTGTGCATGAAATTGCACATGAATACTGTACGTGAAAAGGGCGGCAAGGGCTCTGTTACAAAATAAGATCTAAAAGAGGGCATTGCAGCACTTGCCCGAAGGGGTGTGGGCAGTTCAAATAGGATTAGGCATGGATGCTATCCTTCAGCAAAGTTCAGCTCTGCAAACTTGGAATCTTTCACAGTTTAGCAGCTCAGCAACAAACTGCAATCGTTGTGGACCCATAAGGCTATTCTACAGTATATGCAGATCTCAACATAGAAGTGCATAGGGAAAGGGAAAGGTTCCCTTCGCACATATGTGCTAGTTGTTCCCTACTCTAGGGGGTGGTGCTCATCTCCTTTCAAAGCCGAAGAGCCAGGGCTATATGAAGACGTCTCCGTGGTCATGTGGCCGGCATGACTAAATGGCAAAGGCACACGGAATACTGTTACCTTCCCACCAAAGGTGGTTCCTATTTTTCTATTTGCATTTTTACGTGCTTTCGAATTGCTAGATTGGCAGAAACTGGAACAAGTAATGGGAGCTCACTCTGTTACACAGTGCTAGGATTTGAACTGCCGAACTGCTGACCTTTCTGATCAACAAGCTCAGCATCTTAGCCACTGAGCTACCACGTTCCTATAGAAGTGCATATCAATGTGCAATTCCTTCCCCAGTAATCCTACCTAACTTGGTATTGAAAGAATTGTACGGCATCTGTATAAATGGTGCGGGAGATGCCAGTTGGTATGATGAATGCATGCTAACTATACCCTTGTGCATGCTAAGCACAGGCTTTCCTTGCTTTGTGCTAAGGTCATGTTCCTGCCTAAAGTAAATTCACCTAGTGAAAAGCGAGGAAAATCTGTGTATGCATGAGAAAACTTGTCTGTTTGTTTACGTGGGTTTCAAGCTAACACTCAGCTTCAAAGCTGACCTTTAAAATCAACTGGTTTTCCCACTCCCCCTCATCCTTAAATGGTCTCCTTTGTCCATTTTATTTTCATTGTTTAAATGTTTCTCAACCTCGGCCCCTTTAAGACATGTGGACGTCAACTCCTAGAATTCCCCAGCCAGCTTTGCTGGTCTAACTCTGGTCTAAATGGATGATAATGGTATTCTAACAATTGGAAACCAATTGGTGGGTGTTTTGGCCTCCACATTCAGAAGCTAGAGATTATGAAGTGAGAAATGAATGACAGCTGTCAGCAAATGCAGAGGGATTACTAATCCACAATGAGGGGGTGGGGAAAGGGAAAGGATAAGCAACAAGGACAATTGAGAGGGCTCAGTCCAAGGCCCTGGAGAGCATATGATTCACTAAAGTTTTTAGTTTCTTTAGTTTCTAGGGAAGACAAGCAGTGTGGTTTGTATAGGTATAGCAAATTTCCCAGGTCTGATAAATGTGCAAAAATAGTTTTTTGCCCTCTTTCCTTTTTTTGGTGAAACTGTCTGAAGAATGAAAAGTTGGTCTTCTCTCTGATTATCCACAAGTATAATGGTGCATAGATGCCTTGTAAATGTATCTCTGGAATAGTATAAAGGTAAAAGTAAAGGTTCCCCCGCACAGACGTGCTAGTCATTTCCAGCTCTAGGGGATGGTGCTCATCTCTGTTTCTAAGCCAAAGAGCCAGTGCTGACCGAAGCTGTCTCTGTGGTCATATGGCCAGCATGACTAAACACCGAAGGCGCACAGAGCGCTGTTACCTTCCCACCAAACGTGGTCCTTATTTTTCTACTTGCATTTTTTTACATGCTTTCGAACTGCTAGGTTGGCAGAAGCTGGGACAAGTAACGGGAGCTCACTTCATTATACAGTGCTAGGGATTTGAACCGCCAAACTGCCAACTTTCTGATCAATAAGCTCAGCGTGTTAGCCCCTGAGTCACCTCGTCCCTTGAGCCCTTGAGAGTAGTATACAGTATCCCTATATCCAGAGAATGAGCATCTTCAACCATAATACTGTTTTATTTCCTCCGCTATGCCCTCTTTCTCCTCCTATATAGAGAAAGGGAGTTTTATGCTTTCAAATGGGAGCTGAAAGCAACTGTTCTGATCTGAGCAAGACTGGAAGCCATTCTTTAGTCCTCCATTAGAGAAGGACTGGAAGGAGAGTTGAGTTGCCTTCCAAGCAAATGAAAGAATACCAGAGGATTCAAGGAGGAGTGAAGGAGTTCCAGACTGCCATGTGAGCAATTTAATTCCAAGGCTTACTTAGTTCCTCATCTCTAATTATTTGGAATGGCCCCATAATGTAAGAGAGAGGCATCAGTATTTAAGAACTGGTAAATGGAAGATCACCTAGTCGTTTCCTGTTTCAGAAGAAAGACATCATTAACTTACCTCTTCATGGATTTGGGCGAGAGTTCCTTTTCAACTTCTTTTGCAGACGTGTTATAGGAGTCCACACTATATTCACTGTCATCATCATACTCATGGTCGAGCAGCGTTCTTGCCCATGTGCCCATGTCATAAGGTGGAAGCATTCCTCCAAATTCAGAAGGGAGAATTTCAGGATGAATCAATTGGTGCAGACTGTTTAGGTTGTTTCCATGGAGAAATATCTAGGGGAAAGAGGAATATAATACATTGTAAAATTATCAGAATCTATAATAATAAATGTAGCTATCTGAATAAGCTGGGCAGCTCAAAGATGTGGTTTTTAACCACAGAAGAGTTGCCAAATGTTTCAGAATTTTTTTAAAAATTCTATTGGTTACCTAAAGATGAGAGATTACTCCTGTGTCTACTTCCAAATAGCATCTGGAATCCATTGATAATGAATCTGGTTCTATCATCCAAATAGCTTTAAGCACACTCCTTCTCAAATGTACAAGGCAAATTATGGGGAACATTCAAGCGGTTTTGGGCGATGAGGTGTCAGGGTGCCTGATGCTCAAAGGGAAAAATAGTACGTACCTAACTTGTCATTGCTATGTAGGAAGTTTTTAAATGGATTCTTAAGGCTTTCAGCCCCCTTCAAGGATTACTAACATATTTGTAAAGAGGCTTATGCACCCAATGATTTAGAAGAGTTAGGATCACCCAAGTTCACAATACAGTGAAAAGGGCAGAATGATAAAAATATATTACATTGGCACAATACAAGATCCACCCCACTGGCAGTGCACCATGAAGTTACACACATATCCAACAGGGACAGAGTTTGAGACCCAAGGGTGCAATGCATCTCTCCCCATTTTGATCTGAAACCTTCAGATGCCCATGATCCGCTGAATAACAAAAAGATTACTAACTATGCTTTATTAATTATCCAAAAGGTTTTGTCCAGGTAGACCACAACAAATTTTGGTTAGCCCTTAAAAGCATGAGTATACCCAGGCCTTCTGCTTTATTGAAGAATGTGTACGGGGATCAGGAAGTAACAATTGGAATGGAAGACTAAGCAACAATTTTAAAAAAAGAGATCAGTGGAAGACAAGGTGATTGGATAACATCACTGATGATAGAAGCAACAGCGTACAAGAATTCAAAGAGGTTCCTGACAGACAATCCTGTTAGTAGAAGGGTACCCATTAGGTCACAAATAGAAGCAACTGGAAACCGAAGAACATAACTGCCTTCAGCTTCTATAGAATTTGGTATTATGCTTCCAAAGAGCAAGCTTATTAAATTATCCATTTCAAGATGCTTTTGAAACTGAGCCACAGCTAAAAGAAAGAGACCTTGGGATTTTAGTAAGAGGCATGGTTTTTGGGTGAATGTATGCAGGTCACTCTGTCTATGGGTTTCCTGGTGTTTTCACCTTCTGCTTAGGATCTAATTCAAAATGGAATAATGTTTTTTAAAGCTATTTTTACATGTTGCATTGATAATCATCAGACAACAAATACAGAAACAAAGTGAATCTCTAGAGTGCAACCATCGCTTATCTTTAAGCTGCTGAATGAGATTCCAATGAACACATCTGTCATGGACTGAGTAAATATATAGCAATAATACTTTTTACCAAGATTACATAGCTTAATTCTCCCATTTCAGAACAGTGTTTTTAAGATCAACCAAGTCTGCTTAGGCAGCTGTGCAAATAACTATTCAGCTTTTAATAAATGGGTCGTTCACAGAAAATCCATTTTTATCCTTTGCTGTGTTCTAAAATGTGTTAGTATTTGTATGTACATGGGGAGCTTATGCATCAGAGACAAATTCCTTGTGTCTCCAATCATGCTTGACAATAAAGAATATTCTAATACTATTAATGCTTTATTTAATGTTATAATTAAAGTCACAAAACAAGACACTAGAAACATCTATTTGTTCTTTAGTTTTCAAGGCCGTCAGTCCTTTGATAAAGTTATGAAATAAGATGGAAACAAAGATAAATAAAATTACCCTCTTCCTTGTCTTCTCCTTTAAAAATGGGCGTATGACAGTATAAAGGGCATGGATGTACCATGGCTGATTGACAAAATGAATTCCTCCAAATCGTGCTGGGAAACTGTCCTAGAAGAGAACATAAAACAAACATAAATATTTTATCTTATTTGTCACTTTCTCTATATCTTTAGCACTGCTGTGAAAACAGGTAGTGCTCCACTTACGACCGCAATTGAGTCCAACATTTCTGTTGCTAAGCAAGACAGTTGTTAAGTGAGTTTTGGCCCATTTTATGATCTTTCTTGCCATAGTTGTTAAGTGAATTACTTAAGTTGTTAAGTCAGTAAAGCGACTGTAAAGTGAATCTGTCTTTTCCATTGAAGTTGCTTCTCAAAAGATCAGAAAAGGGGATTCCATCATCCCGGGAAACTGCAACTGCCATAAATATGAGACAGTTGCCAAACATCAGAATTTTGATCACATGGCCATGGAGATGCTGCAATGTTTGCATGAAAAATGGTTATAAGTCACTTTTTTAGTGCTGTTGTAACTTTGGTAAGTAAATGAACTGTTGTAAGTTGAGGACTACCTGTATAGGATCATATAAATTCATCCTCACAATAAACTTGTAGCCAGGTTTCACTATAACAATTAGGATACAAACCATTACAGATAAGCTTTTTGCTTAAGATCATGTCTTCAGACTTTTGCAAGCTCATCAAACAAAAGTTGTTTTCCACTCCAGGACAGTAATTCTGTATCCACCTCAGATGTGGGTTCCTGCCAGTTCCTGCCAGTTCGGTGCATGCAAAAATTTTGCGTACATGCACTCACTTACATACACGCCAGATGCACGCATGCACATTTGCAAATAAAAAGGTCTGCGCATGAGCAAAACCTTAAAAAATGGGGGAGGGGGGAATTGCAATGAAAATTGTTCTGCACATGTGCAGAACTGAAAAACAAGATGGTGCCACCATAGGAGAACCGGTTCGGGGGCATAGCAGGCCTGGGTTGCTACCAGTTCCAGTGATCCAGGCTACCAAGTTACTACCTATTCGGCCGAACAGGTCTGAACCAGTAGGAACCCACCTCTGATCAAGCTAGTAATTTGGGGAAAGAATTCTAATAAAGAGAGAGGAGGTTTTCTACCAAGCAATAATGCACTTATTTTCAGTCTATATTACTTGCCGCCATATAAACTTTCTATTTTATATGCACAAATCTACATGCATTTATTTTTATTTGAAATAACGACAATGTTTTTACATACAGTATGTTCTTAACCATCTTAGGAATCATTTATTAAAAATTGGAGGATAGAAGAGGATTTAAATGCTCCAATAAATTAAAACAGCAATTTGATTATTCCATGTTAAATTATGTATGCATATAACTGTTGGGTTTCAGTTGACTAACCGAAGTGTGAATGCACTGCATGCTTATTTGTCATTATCTTTCTTAGTTCTTAGCTGAACACCTCCAGTTTTTCATAGTGTGTTCTGTTGTTCAATGGCTCCTGGTGTCAAGAAATTAATCTAAATATTTGTCCTAAACGTCCTTCATTTTCATTTCAGTCCTCCTCCTTCAATCATTTCAATCCTCTAGTCTTCTTTCACTCCGAATTTAAGAATAGAGCTGTCCTTTATTGTAAGTAGAACCTTTTAGTTTGTTGAAAATTGTGACCACATCTTACCTCTGTCATCTGTTTTATAAATTAAAAATTAAAGCTTTTCAAAACCCACAATAATCAGCTTGATAGTTAGCCTCCTTATCTTGACATACCTCTTCCATTCCACTTCAACTTCTTCATCTCTTTTAAACAAATATCCTACCAAGAACTGGGCACAGTACTCCAAATGCAGATTAATCAGTAGAGTAAAGATGGCACAGTCAGGAGTGGTATTCACTTACTTTTTCTATCGGTTTGCAAATATGAGTGCTCACTTTGCTTGCACACGCCCCATCGATGCATGCGCATGACTATCCACACATGCACTTTGTTCACATGCGTGGCTTGCACACATGCGCGGGCTTTAAAATCTGCCTACATAGGACAGTGTAGAGCCATTTCGGGTGGGCGGACCCACCCACTACTGGTTCGGGTGAACCAGTCCGAACCGGCTGAATACTATCTCTGGGCAATCCTAGAATCAATAGGCCCCAAGATCAGAGGTGCAATTCAGGCAGTTCCATCCAGTTCGGGCGGACCACTAGCGATGGTGACGGGAGGCTCCACCCAGCCACCGGACATAATCACATTCCGTTTTTGATGCTCTGCCCATGTGTGGAAGATCCTGTGCATGCGTGCGCTCACATTTGTGAACCGGTAGCGAAGGCAAGTTGATTTCACTCCTGCCCAAGATCAGAGCCACTCAGTTTTTCCAGGATTCAGTTGATACCTGTTGTTTCGCATCCAGATTCTTACAGTCCCCATATACCAAATAAGATGTTCATGGTATTGCTTAATTCACCAAAGGCTGAGATAGAGAGTTGGGTATCATCAACATATTGACGATGAACTAACAAGCCGGTCTCATGTAAATGTTGAAAAGAAGAGAGAGCACTGAACTCTGTGGCCTACCTCTCCTTCCTAATATATAATCATGTCTAATATTAGATTATCAGTTTGCATCACAGGAAATTCTCCCCAGTTTAGTGAGTTCCATCAGTATTCTTGATTCAGCTATGTTGATAAGTTGTCTTTCTTCAAAACTCTTAAAAGTGCTAACCTAAACTCTCAGAATATCTCGCAGCATATATAGCTATTCTGAAGTTCAAAGAAACTACACTTAACATTCACTAAATTTTACAATCAATTCTTTTGCCCTGGAGATCTTTAGTTGTCTTTACATTTTCAATCTAAAATTGTTGAATAGAAATTATAGAAAAAGTCTTTTCCAATTCTCTCAATTCCACTGGTATTTTCCATTCCATGAATATTTTGGACCGGTTCTGTGGGCGTTGCTTGGTGGGCGTGGCATTGCTTGGTGGGCATGACTTGGTGGGCATGGCAAGGGAAGGATACTGTAAAATCCCCATTTCCTCACAATCAGCTGGGACTCGGGAGGCAGAGAATAAATGGTCAGAACCTCCTGAATACCACTTCTGGTATGTATGTATGTATGTATGTATGTATGTATGTATGTATGTATGTATGTGGCTATTATAAGGCAGGAGCGACTTGGATGATCTCCAAATTTCTTCCAATCCTTACATTCCATGAAATTGTTATATGCGACATTTCGCAACATTCCAGGGAACGTCTACCCTTTTCATTTTGACAGAAGTTAGGATATATCAAGAATGACCTTTCTGATGTTTCTGAATTAACTATTTATAAAAAAAGCTATGGAATAGCTGTAGGATATAAGCTCAGCAAAAACAGAAAAAGCCAACCAATAAGGATATAAAAGAACAAGTTTAGCAAGAAAGTAATCTAGCAACATCTATTTAATTTCATCTCTATATTTTTCTCCATGATCCTAGATGAAATCTGGACCCCTTAGGCCTTTTTATACCAGGCTAATGGCTAGCTCATTTATTTCTATTCCATGCTACCATTTGAAAATGATGCTCGATGGGGCTGCAGGTAGTCCTCAGCTTACAACCATTTGCTTAACAATCTTTCAAAGTTACAATGGTACTGAAAAAAAGTGACTTGGGACTGGTTCTTCACGCTTAATGACCATTGTAGCATCCTCAGTTGCATGATCAAAATTTAATAGATTTCAGAAATCTACTAAAGGTATTATGGATACAACAAGAACAAAGGTAGCTGGCAAGTATTATTATTTTGAAGCTTTTAAAAGTATCAGCTTCACAGAGGTATCAGTTGATAGCACAATGATATCAAGCATTGATATTGTGACATCATTTTGAAAATATGATGAATTACATCATTTAGTTGCCCCCAAAAACTATGCAACACCATTATTTTCACATGCAATATTACTTATGCTATAACAAATTGTGTGTTGTTATCAGCCTATTTTACAATTTATATTTAATATATAGTGATTGACATAATACTGATCAAACCAAATTAATAAATGCCACACCCTTAAAAGAAATCTAGGAAGATATAATCTAGAAGGGTTGGATGAAACCCAACATAATGTGAACAATCCTATTTTCCATAGCTTCTGTCCCACCATCTGTTCCAAAGAGCCCTTCAATCTTGGCAGCTGATTGTGATATCCCACCAGTCCTCCCATTTAAATGAGGACAGGGATTCCCTTAGCAGGAGGACTTAATTGGATATCATCTATATCTAAGGTCATTAGGTCTGCTACCAGTTCAAAATTGCCTCCAGCAAACAGCTGTTGTTGTACATTTTATTAGCTTTTGAACAAATGAAATGTATAATACATTTAATTACCTATGAAACAGAAGCTTGGAAAGATGAGTTAAATGAGATTGTGACAGTGACAAGCCTGTAAGAAATAGGTATTTTTGAGACTTTCATTCATTTCCTAAAACTGTGGGGTGTGTGGGTATTACAACAGTAAAATCTAATACAAAGAAAAGAACAAAAGAACAGAAAGAGTAAAAAATGGAAAAAAGAAAGAAAAAGAAAAATATAATAAAAAGGAATGTATGACTTCCAGCATCCAGTTATCACAAGTATAAAAAATTTAGTAACTCTTCAACTGTCTAGTTACAAATATGTATCCCTTCATCCCATATTCCATCTCTTATAAATAAATTCATAAATCATAATCTTTTCAGTCCTCGTTACAGCAAAAAGAATTACTAGAAGGAACAACATATCTTATTTTAACCTTTAACCCATTTGGTTTATTGGAAAATCAAGCTTTCCAAATAAACGAATTCCCTGATTTTTCTATGGGTATGCCTATATATTTTGTTAAATTTCTGTTATTTGGGGAGTTTGGCCTTCTGAGAATAATTTTGAATGAAAAAGAACAGACAGTACAAGAAGTATGATTGCAGTTAAGGAGTCCATTAAGGACTGGCCAGTGAGAAAAATCCCCTCAAAGGAAGCTAAAAGAAAACCTCCTTGGTAATTTTCCCAAATCATAGCAACCTGTTCCCTATGAAAGAAATAATTATTGATTGGCAAGGGGCCAGACTAACACTTACTGTAGCAAAATATAAGAATA